GGCCTCTCTGCGGAGGCGCGGTGCGTGCGGGCGGGGGCTGCGCCGTGGCCTTCCCCTCTCGCGGGGCGTCTGTTGTTCCCGTGCTGCGTACGGGAGGCAGAAACCTCCCTTCTGTTAAATGTGCCCCGTAGTCCTGTGACTCACCCAGAGAATACCAGCAGCATAAAGCATTGCAATGAAAGTAAATGTAATACTTGCAGATCCTCCGCGTGCGTGCTAACAGGGCAATGTCACCTGTCCCGGCCTCCTAGTAACTGCAATGTCTATAAACTAGCCCATTAATAAAGAGGGGTAGCTACCCATGAGAGACAGAGCGAGCTGCGGGCAGGGGTGCCCGTTCATGCTGTGTCTGCATATGTTATTTTTGGTCATTTCTCAGTCTTCCTGTTCTTATGGTATAGCACCATACTTTATTTTTCAGACTTTTACCAGCCCTTTGATGGGCCAAAGAAATTCTGCTCACTAGTCTGTTTTCTAGGAACTTATGTCTGTCGAGTACGCCATCGCTTCAAGCTCATGGCTAGAATAATTAGACTTCCAATTTTTTTTTACAGCATTGCTTTTGCCTAATATATGTAGAGGGGGATGTAGAAGGTCCCCCTGAGCCTTAGGCATCCTTGCAAGAGCCACAGCAGGGTTGCAAAAAAGATGGCTTACATGAAGATCATAGTGTGAATGCCTCTTCCTCAGTGTCTTCTGTAAGACAAGGCTGCACCCTAATTTACTAACTTCCTTGTCACATTTTTTTTTTTTTTTTTTTTTTTTTAATGCTGGGGAGGCCAGCTCTGAAATGAGCTAGCTTCCAGCGCAAAGTTTCTGCACAAGGCCCAGAAAAGTGCCCCAGGACTAGAAATACTTTCAGAGCCTGGAGCCTGGGCAGAAGCCACCCGGTCCCAAGGAGCCCAGGCCCGAAGTCAAACTCTTTGCTGACCAGTGACAAACGTGTTTCAGAGCCTTGCAGCTCACTGTTGCTGGTGCCGGCCCCATCTTCTCGTTGACCATCCTGGTGGCAGAAGTGCCAGTGGTTCGCCATCCCCGGCTGAGGGGACCAGAGCGTGAAAGCAGAGTGAAGCAGTGCACACCTCGGGCATTGGTCTTCGAGGATGATGACAGTGACTGAAGAGAGGAATGAAGGTCCGAAAGAAGGGGGAATTTAGACAGAAGTTTAGGAATTACTGTGATGTTGGAGGTTGCAATGAAAGAAGGGAGAGCATTCCCGGCATTCGACATAGGTCACTCAAAGAAACTAGGTGGACTCCCTCAGCTTCCTCTGTTGTCCGTGAAGGTAGGTTCTCCTGAAGAATGATCCACAGCACCCAATTTTGGGTCTACTTGAATTTGCCCTCTGGAAGACCTGCTCTTTCTCCAGCAGTTACAGAGGAGGCTTGTGGAGATTTTCTTGGCTGAACGAGGGGCCCAATGTGGTTGTCCATCCCCAAGGGCTTCTGCGAATTACCAGCAGCAGTGGCTGCCCAGAGCCCTCTGTCTTGCCCAGAGCAAGTCACAAGGGCGACATCCAGTCACAGAAGGGACTGTGTGCAGTAAGCATGCTCTTCTACTTGAGCAGCAGAGACAATATTTGGACCTGCCTCATACAGTAATGACTTGGTATTGTATAGCTAGGACCTGTATAACTATGGAGCAGCTGTTAGCTCCAAAAGCAGTCTCCAGGACTGAACGCTCGTGGGAGCTTTGCTGCCACAAGAGAAACTCTGCGTGCTCTGCATCAGCGATATATGCTGTGGTTGTTTCAATTAGTATATGAAATGGGACTCACTGCTGTTTAACACATAGGAAAGTTGTTTTCCCCTATAAATCACATCCCATGTATGGTTTTACAACCCCCTCTAGAGTCAGACGACCCTGCATCTTCGGCTCTGGAAAGGAATACGCATTTTTTTCTTTGTAGTGAAGCCGGTCCTGAGATACATGTATGCAGGTGTGGAACATCTGTCCCACACCATTAAAATACTTGAAAGAAGTTAAGTCTCCCAGAAGAGCATTTTCAACCATAATGTTTTCCTGATTATGATGAGTGAAAATTGAGCATTTAATGTAGGCCTATTTGGAGTACTACTGTGTGCCCCAAGAAAGTCTTTGTAACATAAGCAAATAACGACATCAGCAAAAAGGAACGCTCCTGAAACAGGCCATAGAAATGATTCTGTCCTGTAGGCTGAAGAATAGTATTAGCTGATCAATACCATGATATTTTCATAATAGCTTGCTTGCTTTCCTAAAATGCCAAATGAATGATCAGGAGATTTACCTCCCTTGTATAAACAGCCATCTCTGGGACCTCATCACAAACCAAAACAAATAAAAAACAAACAAAATCAACCATATGTTTTTATGTCAGTTATTCACTTTTATTTCTATCACCACTGTGCTTAAAAACCATCATCTCTGTCAGAACTGTGTTGCATGAGGTGCTATATATTGCCAGGAGTCCATCCTCACTTTAGAGAGGTCAATAGGGAAGGCAAGGAAGGAAAGTATAGGAAATAGAAGTGACCTTCCCTAGAGGACAGGGTGGCAGAACTGAAAATGGAAAATGTGTTATCTGTCCTGCCCACTGGTCAGCACTGTGCCTAACAGGAGCTCAAAAGTGAGCTTCTGGGCTGGCAGTGGGAAGTTCACAGACTAAACTTTAGTTTTGGGTCTCTAGGAACCTTTAGGTACCTCTGGTGAGACGTATCGTGAGACGATTCCCCCGTACAAGAGAGACATTGCACTACTGGAGAGAGTCCAGCGGAGGGCTACCAAGATGATTAGAGGACTGGAGCACCTCTCCTATGAAGAAAGACTGCAAGAGCTGGGCCTGTTCAGCCTGGAGAAGAGAAGACTGAGAGGCAATCTCTTCAAAGTGTATAAGTATCTGAAGGGGGAGTGTCAAGAGGATGAGGCCAATCTCTTCTCCGTGGTGCCCAGCAACAGGACAAGAGGCAACAGGCACAAACTGAACCACAGGAAGTTCCACCTAAACCTGAGAAAAAACTTCTTGACTGTGAGGGTGAGAGAGCACTGGAACAGGTTGCCCAGAGAGGTAGTGGAGTCTCCTTCGCTGGAGATATTCAAAACCCGTCTGGATGTGATCCTGGGCAATATGCTCTAGAGGTCCCTGCTTGAGCAGGGAGGTTGGACTAGATGATCTCCAGAGGTCTCTTCCAACCTAAACGATTCTGTGATTCTGTGATTCTGTATAATATATATGAAATTATATTTTTTCTTGGAGAAAATATTTGTGTTGGTAGCAGCTTATTTTAAAATGTTTTCTGTTAGCTTTATATTAGAGAACATTGCTCTGTCTCAGTGTTAAATTGTTCCTGAAATAACCAAGGATGCCAGGATTACAGAATAAGTGCATTAAGTGTGTTTGATATTAGAGCAATTGTTCTTCACAAGTAGTTCCTTTGTTTTTAAAATGTCCATGCTATTCTTCTTTAAGAGTTTTATCTGCATTTGTAGAATGGAGTTGTAGGTGCTATTTGGAGATCCCTGTGTAGACTTTAAGAAAAATATTTTTAATATGTTTTTCTTTATGTTACTTTTTCTACAGTGACAATTTTCCCACAGAGCTCTGTTTTTCCTACTTTTTTCCCTAAGAAATGTTTATCTCCAAAGGAACAGCTAGGAGAGCAGAGGAAAATGGACTAATTTTTAAAGTTTCAGCTGCTTGTGTCAACATATAAAGCAGAACGACCACAAGGTGGTAGCAGTCTGTAAAGGAAGGGCAAGGAGATGCTGAGCTTTGCTTAATGATCCACGTCTTGCCATACAGTGGAGCACTTGCAATGTTCAAGCAGAGTTATTTGAGATCTGGCTTTTCTGTGTGATGTTAATTTGAGGTATTTCACTTGGAGTTAATCTTGTGTGAGATAGAGCAATGGGTGGTAACATTGATGTCGTCTCTACGCTGGCTTGTTGATCACTTGGGTCGTAGCATCCCTCTCACCCACTGCCTGGCGGCATGTTCCCTTGCCCAGGATGCCAACCCTGTAGCGTAGATGGCTGAAAGGAACAGCTGGGGTCCCAGGGCAAATCCCTTTTAAATTGTCAGCTTCAGCTAACATGCTGGATTGTGTGTTGCGGTGTCCAAGCCGGGTTGGACAGTGCAATTAGTCTGCCTTTTGAACTCTCAGGATGGCACCCAGAATGGCATGGCCACAGGTTGCAAAGCGCTGATCTCATATATTCTCATTCTGCCAGCTCAGACTGGTTCAGAACAAAGCACCTTCATACTGTCAGGCTTTATGGGGACATCAGGCATCACCCAGCCTCCTGGGGCTGGCATGAAGTTCGTGTCAATACATTAAGGCAGCGAGAACTCCATCATGTGCTCTGTCTGATTTGACAGAAATGCAGTCATATGCCCACATGTGATCAAGATTAAAATTGTGCTGCCGAGTGATCAGGCAGTGCACAGACCCACATTAATGAACATGAAACCACATTTTAAAGCAGAAAATGCACGTTTCCTTCTGCTGCCCCTGTTATGAAAGAGAAGAGGAGAAAAAGGAGCCTATGCAGAAATCTGGGGCAGGCAACTGTGGGGTCCCTGTGGT